CTCATACAGAGGATGGAAAGAAACTGTTATTATTAACACAGCAGCAGCAGCAAAGAAATGATCTATCTATTCAAACAACATTGACTATTCGTCTGGGTTCATAAATTGTCTTCTCATCGTATGTGCTGTTTGTTTTTGAGTTAGCTCAATATGGCAGCTCAAGCACCGATGTTTGTAAATGTGGCTTATGACTTAGTGTATGGTTTTAACCAAGTCAATTATTATTTTTTCATCATATAGTGGTTAAACAAACTAGGCTTAGTGAAATATATGAACCTAGCCTTTAACTCTTCAAAGTTTGGACCTAATGAGGGTTGACACCTCTCCCTCTCTCCCTTTCTCTTTTATAGGCCCCATTGCAGACCAATTGTTGTCTATGGTAACTATTTCCAGGAGCTAATAAAAAGGGAGGCTTATCTAGTCATTTCCGCTCTTTCTACTTTTGCTAACCAGGATTCTTTAGGACAAGTTGCAGTATCTTTTCTTTCATTATCTTACTTTATAAAGTTTTGGAATTCCTAAACTGGTGGGTGAGGTGCAGAATAGCTTCAGCTGCTCTCAAGTCACCTAGTGTAGGCTTGATGATATATGTTGTCACAGAGTTTAAAAATAACTTTGTAGCAGCTGAGAAACTGCAATTTCAGTATTTTAATTGGGAAAGGAGAAATGAGTAGCAGCCTTGTAGAAAATTCAACCTCTTTTTTATCCAGGAATGAGTGGTATGCAATGTGGACAGGTCTATGTTACTCAAATGGACCATGCATTAGTTTCTAATTATTATTTGGATTGTAGGGAGGTGGAGAATTAATTTGTCTATATATATTATTATTGGTTGCACAGTAAGCCAAATTTTTAGACTAGATTTGGCATTTTATCCAACTAGCAAGTCAGTTTTATTATTATCCCAAAATTATAGTAAATATACTTAATACTACTGTCTCCTATTTTCTGCACAAGTAACCCTTGTGAGTTGAGTTGGGTGCTTTGTGTGTGTGTGTGTGTGTGTGTGTGTGTGTGTGTGTGTTGTGTTGTGTGTGTGTGTGTGTGTGTGTATGCAGCAACTGTCCAGATATCCTCTCAGAAACACTTAGTTTTTTGACAAAACAGTGAGGAAGATGCAAGGAAAGCAATATTTGGGATCTACCAGAGATTCTTTACGTATTCTTCACAGACTATATACAGCTAATGCTAAGAGTAAACAGAAGAACAATTATGAGAATATGCTTACAACTTTTAAACCTATGCCACCATTCACTGCAGATTTATGGACAGTTAAAAGATGGAAGGGTCATGGACCAGCTTGTAAGGTCTGCTATGAGTACCAACCAAGCTGTTGTTCAAGACCTTCATGTAAGGATCTGAAAAAGGCCAGTACAACAATTATTGAGTATCCTTTGAAAGCATTTTGTGATCTGTAAACCTGTTAAGATAGGCTTCACAAACTTAAAAATATTGCTATGCGAATATTTTTAATAGGAACAAATATAGGGTGGTGAAGTCCTGCATGCAGTATAAATCCAGAATTCCAATCTTTGCAAAAAAAAAAAAGTTCAGAATGGTCAAAGTTCATCGATCAAGGGTTTGTCTAAAGTTGGTTTCAAGGAAGACAGCAGCCTACATCATATCTCAGATGTCTTAGTGTTTGAGCTCAAACAAAGGTTTCCATTTCAGAAGCTTTTGCTCTCCTCCACTCAAGCAGAGTTAATGGTATTTAGGTTGAATTATGGTTGCTGGGCTACTTGCAACTAACAGTCTACTTAAAATAACGAATTCTGAATAGATTAATACTTCCAAAGCACACCTCTCAGCAATCTGGCTCTGCTCTGCGGCACTTAATTTGGAAGCAGATGCCCTCTTACAGCTTTGTTCTTTTTCCAGAGTCTGAATTTAGACTGTGGCAGTGAAAGCAATTCTGCTAAGACCTCACAGCAAGTGCATGGCTCCTCAGGTTTGGTTTGCCATACTTTCTATCCTTATCCAGAAAACTCTAACAGGGCCACAAATGGGTCTTTATTTGAGTTGCAGGTTGTAGCTTCATTTTTGCGTGAAGCACTAGTCTCTCACTAGTCAGCTTCATCTCTAATTCAACATACCCTTTTTGAGTTTTCTTTTATCTTGTGTGGGTGTTCTATTCAACTACTGATAAATATTTTGTCTAATGGGGAACCTCACTGTGCCTTTTTACAGCTTCCATGCTCTTTTTTTTTTCATTTAAAAGACAGGATCTCGGTTGGGTACATATATCTATTTATTTCTAATCCCTGTAGAGCTAGCAATGATTTTTCACTTCCTGTTGTACTCTTTCTCATGCCTCACCTAAATCTGAAGCATATCCTAATTAAACATAAATTGTTTATTAGACAATAATTTACAAGCTCTTGCTTCTTATAAACAGTAGATTTTAAAGCTTATAACAATATCATTATTTAGAAAAGGAAATTATTCCTTTGAGGTACTGCTATAAACTACACAATCATATTCAGTTTACATTGGACCTGATTCATATTAGTTAGAAAGAAGCACTGGATTTGCTCTACTTTTGTATTCTAAGGGGGACACTCAAATTAGTATCAAGCTCATATCCAGCACACAGATTTTTTTAATACCAACATTATAATTGATAATTTATATAACTTATAATTCAGAGTCATAAATATTCACAATTCAACACAGATTCTGGGTGGAGCATGATTTAACAAAATACAGTATTTAAAAAATAAAGCCAACAAACTCAAAAATGGAATCAAAAACGAAGAACGACGTACCATAACCCAAATGAACACTGCAAACCAAATGAACACACTACTAATGAGCTTTAGGGAAAAACCGTAACAGGCTTTTAAGGATTGCCTAAAGAATTGCAAGAAGGTTGGAATGGGCTGAACCTCCTGTAGGGATGCTGTTCCAAAGGCAGATGCTGAGATAGCGGAAATACACTTTTTGGGACCCAAGAGATAACAGAGTAACCTTCTCCTTCCCAATTGGATCATAGATGTGATAGCCAGAAATACAGATAGTCCTGATTTACAACCACAAATGGGACCAGGAACTTGGTTGTAAAGCAAAAGAGTCACTAAATGTGATTGTGCTTACAACCTTATTTCAGCCAGTTCAGCAAAGGTTGTAAATGCTTTGGATTGCTCACCAAATTACTTTTTCATCGCTGTTGTAGCTGCAAACGGATGCTAAATGAAGCAGATGCTAAACAATGACTGCCTGTAATGGAACAGAGGCGATCTTTCAGAGGGGACTTTATAAGTGATACACAGCATATTAATTGCACCCTAAAGCTTAATGGCAATCAGCACAATTTATGTGGCAAAGACAGTTCTACATTGAGCATGCTTTGGGGTTTTTGGACAGTAAATAAATAAAAAGTTGCAACAATCCACATCAGAGACTAATGAAATATTGAAGTGGAAAGTATAATAGAGGAATCAGCAAATGAAACATCTGTTTGATGTTTCCTCAGAAGGTGTCCATGTACTTTAGTTTGCAGAGTATAGTTTTGGACTTGAGCACAATTCCCTAGTCAAAAGATTGCCCAACTCCAGTGAAAGAATAAAGAAAAAAAAGAAGACAAGAGAATGTAATTTTAACCCATCAGCTTTAGAAAATATCCTGTGTAGACATCCATGTTTTATCTGTCTCAATCTACCATAGTAAGTTGTGGTACAACTTATTTGAATATAATATTTTCTTTCTACACACTAAGAATGTGACAATCCAATACATCAGGAGGGAACCCATGTTAGGCAAGATTACTCTTGCTAGTCTCAAAATGGATTTTTGAAGATTACAATAGTAATTATGCAGTTCCAATATGCAGATTGAATTTTCATTTAGTGTTTTGGAGAATAAAGCTATTACATAGATCAGGGCAGTTATTTTTACTATTGATAGGTACAACTGCTTTTAGAATAATAGGCTCTATAAATTTTTACCGCTATATAATACCCTTATTTGAAAAGTACCTTTGGAAAAAAAAATACTAACTATACTGTATGATATTCTAGTAAGCAGAAGGCCAATGAAAAGCAAAATGCAACCAAAATAATTAATCTGAAATGATTCCAGCAACAAGAAGTACCTCATTCTCAAATGTTTCAAGGCAAAAATTGAAATGTTCAAGAGCAATGCAACGACGGATTACAACCTGGGAAAAGGTATCTCCAAAAGCAACAGATGCATCCCAAAAAGCATTTAATCTCACATAACAAATTGACTTATATGATCCTTGATGCCTTTTCCATGGCAGCTGCTGCCCTATGAATCAGTCTTCCTCCTGAAGTTAAGTAAACCTCTACCTGCCCATGCTTCCAAAAAAATACTGATGAGTCGGTTTTTCCTCCAAAAGCTGGAATAAGCTTGAGGCAACTGCATGTTCAACTTGTGCCAAGTTTTTGTTTTCAATATTTATGGTTATTGATAGTTTAAATATGGTTTTTATGTTGCTTTTACTATTGATATTGTTTTAATTCTTGTTTGGGAACTGGCCAGAGTTTGGTATAAGATGGCTGACTAGATACATGTTTTGAATAAATATAAAATTTCCTTGATGTTTGTTCAATTGTATAAATATAGAGTGTGGGTTCTTGAAGCTCTGCTTCCTCATAGTAGAAAACATACATATGGAAAACAACAGAATATGCGAGAGAGAGGCAATGTTTTCAAGTCAGAACATGCAATATTGGCGGTAGCTGTCTCTGCTACAAGTCAAATGGGGGAAGGGGAGTGGTCCAGCCATACCTGATGAAGATTCACATGCTTTTTTGTGTATAAAGCAGAGAAACAAATAAATTGGCCCCAATGCTTGCCTTTGAATGGACGAAACAGATGGGAAGTGCTTGCTCTAAAACATGTCTTTATCAGAAACATAATCCACTATGAGTTGAATGGAATTATATCAAACCTTTTAGAGCCACTCTTTCTCTCTAGCAGAAATTTTAGTTATGAGTTCCATTGTGCCAAGGACAGACCAGTCTTTTCCAGACACTTACCCTCTGACAGCATGAATAAGTCTCAGTGATGGATAGGCAGTTCGCACTTTCAATTTATTCTTAAGGATTAATGCATTAACCCACTCCACATGCTTCTCTCCGCCTTTGACCATGAAAGCAGGGATCCAAAGGACACTGTCATTCAGCATAGATAGTCTATGCACAAATTTTTCTCTGTCACTCTCATTCCGAAAGCCTCCAAATGCTTTTTGTACAACTGATGGGTTCATGGTAATAAAATCTGATTTAGTTCCCACGTCTGCAGCAAACTCCACCACAGGAGCTAGATTGCACCTGAAGAGGAAGAGATTAATGGAAAAATAACAAAAAAAAAAAAAAAAAAGTGAAACATTAACTCAGGTAAAAACATGCATGAAATAAAAGCTGAAAATGAAAAATGCAAGGCTAATTTCATATTGAGTAAAAATCCTGGGGTATCTCACAGGTTTAAATTAACCCTGTGCTGAATAAGGCACTGTCCTCATCATCTTAAGAATTTAGGTAGAATCCAGATGCAACCTCAATTCTGCTGATACCAACAAATACAATTTACTTAACTGTGGACTTAAATCTCACTAAATTCTACTTATTTACTGTGTAAAAGGAACATCGACCTAAAGGACATTTCTAAGTAATTCAAGTAACAAAGAAAGTTTTATTGTGCATGAGAAGTCGGCATCAAATCAAAGGTGTCTACAATCTTTTCAGCTGGCATACAGTGGTATGCCAGAAATCATATTCCAATGAGAGGCAAAAATGAGATAAATTTGGATTAATGAAAACTTAATACAGTTCATGGGTTTATTTCTTTTCTGTAAACTATAATTCAGTGGAATTATAGTTGGATATGCATCAAGGGTTGCACCTAAAGTTTTGAGGCTTATAGCCATAGAACTTTGGGTTGTGCAGTCTTGTACAAAATGGTCCTTTTGTACCAACAATGTGCTCCTTTATAGAAAAACATATGCATGTGCAATGTACAGTTAATTTCAGGATCAATATGAACCTGAATGAGAATCCTCGAGATGAGCACTTTGTGACTGGATTTTCAGAGCCTAATGAATTCAGTTTAGATATGGAACTATGAAAAAATATAATTGCTCTCATAATTTGTCAGCATTAATTAATTAACTGATCGTGTTCCAATATCAAATGTTCCAGAAAGCCTAGAATGCAATTATCTATAGGGCAGTAACAGTTTCTTTTCTTCTTTTTAATCATAATGCTGTATTTGTTACCATGAGGAAAAACATTAGTAGCCTTGCAGCAATCTGCAACAATACCATCTTCACAGTATTTTTTTAAATAAACTTTTGATCTTTAGGATGCTCTATGCAGAAGAATTTCAACACCACCACCACCACAGTTCTAGGTGGCCAAGATCTCTGCCTTAAGCTTCCTATGATACTATCTTGACTAGAAAGCTGTTATTGAGTCTGTTTGGTTTGTCATCAAAGATTAATCCATTCTGGGTGGTTATTCTTTTAAAAAGGAAACAGTGTATTTTTACTATTAGATGAAATAATACATTGGAATAATACAGTGGAAAAAGGGAAATAAAACCTTTATAAGGAACTATGTAAGAAAGGTGTGAAGGTTTTTGGTAAGAGATTCTAACAAAATCTATCCTTTGAAAATTTGATATTTGATCATAGATTGAAAATGCACTTCTGGAATTCTTATAGTAGGTGGCCAGCTACACCCAAAATTATTAAAAGCCATTAGGAGACTACCTAATCCAGGTATCCCCAAACCCCGAGCTGAGGCCCATTACAACGAATGGGCCGTGCAAGAGGCGAGTGAGTACAGGTGCAAAGCTCTATCTGTGTGAGGAGCTGATACGTGCGCTCATGTGCAAGACTACATTTATGCAAACAGCGGCCTCACACTCAAAGTTGCATTTGAGTTAGCAGCAGGCACGCGTGCCCACAGTATGCACAAATGGAGCTATGTGGGTTTGCCTGCATGTGTCTGCTGCTCACACAGAACCATCCCCTCTTCCTCTCTGCTGATCCAAACCAGAAAGGTTGGGGACCACTGATCTAATTATTAGGAGACTATCTAATGTTCCTCATATTTATAAGCTCTTTGTTCATACATCTGACCACTCTTATAAGGCGAGTTAAACAAACATTTGTGGAATATGACAATGAAGGTAACAGTTGATGGATACAGTTGATGGGACTAGACTTCAATGTTTCTTCCAATAATTCTTCCATTTACAATCTTCTGGAACTCTTATGGTCTTTAGCCATCAAATAAAAAATAATCTTTTTTCTAAAAATTGGACTTTTCTAAAAAAAAAATCACAATTATTTGACAGTAAATGATCAATCTACATGCTTTATGGAGACATTTATACTCTGACTGGGATAAGAATCTCATGCAAAACCAACATAACCCTTTCATATAAAAAAAAAACACCACGTAGATAATGCCCTTTTTACAATCTTCTCCTTTTCATATAAGGAAGAGTGCAAGACCTTTGGGGTATATGAGTGAACATGCCTTCATCAAACCCCACCAACATAATCCCAGACTGATGTAAATTTATCCTGGCTATAGATATTACACCAACATTTACTTTAGACAGGGTATTGTTATACTGTTTAAAGAGTATGACTTTAAACAAAACCTTTAAACAGAATTATACTCAACTTGACATCTAACAGAAATAAATAAGGACTCATATTTTTATAGAACCAGTTTATTTTGTGGTTAAGGCATCAGGCTAGAAAGCAGGAGATTGTGAGCATAAATCCTGCCTTAGCCATGAAAACCAGCTGGGTGACTTTGGACCAGCCACTCTCTCAGCTCTACCTACCTTCCAGGTTTGTTGTTGGAGGAAAAATAGGAGGAGGAAGGCATGTTGGATATGTTTGCCACCTTGAGTTAATTGTAAAAATAATAAAGTGTCATACAAATAAATAAATAAATAAATACCAAAATTTAAATATTAAAAGTGTGACAACTAATAACACAGAACAGGTACTTTTAGTGTTAAAACATTGTTTAAAATTTTACATCTGGCAAAAGTAATGCAATTTTTATTTGGAAGGCAGCTAAAATGGAATTATTCTGAAATATTTGTAACGCTCATAGAGATGATTATATCTCTAAGGTACTTTTGTTTCTGCTGTTTTATACGCAAAATGCCAGGTGTCTTTGGATTCTGGTAGCATAGAAATAAATATCTAAAATAAGCAACCACAATTTGGCATGCACTGTGCTGAAAAGGTAGATTACTTGCATTGTATTAAAAATTATCAGGGCAGATGGAATAGAAAAGGAAGTTGGAGAGAGAGAGAAATGTGAGGGGATAGGGAAGAGGCAGTTAACTGAATAAAAAGAGGGAAAGAAAAAAAGACAAAGCAGTATATAGAAAAGAAAATAAATATTGAAGACTTCGTGAAAATGTAAATTATGACTAGGTAAATAGGCCTGTATCGCTAAAGGGAAATATTTTGGAATTGTATCTTATGCTGTTTTATATGATATATTATTGTGATATGAAGTTTTAATTGCTCATAAAAAAACTGTAAATGAGAAAAACAATACAATAACGTCTCATGCCCAGGAACCAGTAAGAAAGAAGTTAACATCTGTAGAAGTATATACCGTATTTTTCAGAGTACAAGACGCGCCTTTTTCCCCCCTAAAAGGGAGTAAAAATTTAGGTGTGTCTTATACATCAAATGTAGCCCTGCCCACCCACTGGCCCCCACCCTTTGGTCTCTGCCTCCCAGCAGTTACCTCCTTGTAGTAAGCAGCAAAAAGAAACAGCTCCTTTCAGCTTCAGTACAGTCTAATTAGCACAAGTTGATTGAATCAGCCTCCCGACTCTCAGCTGTTTTGCTCTCAGCTATTTTGCGCAGGGTTCTGCTGCTTGCTGCAAGGAGGTAAATTGTTGGAGCAGATTTTTTTTTCTTGTACTAATCAAGTTATGCTGAAAAAAATGAAAGTAAAGCAGGCTATTTGCTGCATCGAGGCAAAATTGCTGGGAGGCAGACGTAGAGGCAGATTTCCTTTTCTTGTTTTCCTTACCAAAAAAGGTAGGTGCGTCTTATAGTCCGGTGCGTTTTATACTCCGAAAAATACAGTACTTATTTTGGTGTAATGGCAGTGAGAACTGTATATGTTTGTGTGTATTTGTGTGTATATGTACATGAATTAAATGATCATATACAATAAGTCATTGCTGAATCTTATTTACTATGTAGATTTTCTCCATGATGATCTGAACCTAACCTTGCTTTTCAGAACTTCCAATAGTGCAATCATGTACTACTGTAACTTTCCATCCACATATTAAATATGCATAAAATATATGTGTGTATAAATATACACAAACACAAAAAGATATCCTCAAACTAAATGTAGAAGAAATTATGCCATTGCTGATCAAATAAACCTAGTTTCACCAATGGCACCTTGTTAACTTTTCATTGTATACAGCATATGATGCATTTCTAATGATTTACTGGGTTTCCCTTATTTTTATTATGCTTGTTCATTATTTATTTTACAAGTGGCTTTCAGTTGTATCTGATGTTTTTAAGAATTAATCTGTCCATTGACTTTACTGGCAACCGCATTGTACTTTTTAAAACAGTAAGAGGAAAAAAAATAGCAACACCTTTGTTTTCTTCCATAATACATTTTAACACCTTAGCTTGTTTTGTTAACATAATTTAAGCAAATAGAATATAATTTTTACATTATGTTCACAGCACTCCCCCATTCAGCTGTTGAAAATTCACACTAGCGGTATTCTACTGTTTGTTCAGTTTTCACTGCTGATATTTTCTGAAAAATCACAAAACTGTACTCAATGTAATTTTTCTTGGTTAAAAACTAAAACTGCAACTAAACTAAGCAAGCTGATATAGAATAAGTGGCATATCTTTAAAAGTTGTGAAGGAGTCCATCTCTATAATTGCTACTGTTCCAAGAGGAACATTATCCTATCTTTTCTCTAGAAGCTCAAGGCAATATATATGGCAACTCCCCCTTTTGCTTTATCTCAACAAAAAACCATTGAGTTGGTTAGGCTAAGAAAGCATAACTACATCAATATCACTGCCTGAATTCCAGTTGAACTTAAACCAGTGCCTTCAACCTAAACCAATCACCTCAACCAGTGTTTATGAAACAATATGAGCACTACTATAAGCAGTTACATCTATGCATTTTCTAAACTGCAGAGAAAAAGGTGTTTGATCCCTGACAATATCTCTCTGTGAAATGTTGGGAACAATATTATCTTAATTTGTTAAAGTTTTTGAAAATATTCT